ATAACTTGATATTTGAACTTATTATAATCAGAAAATATCATACAAAAACTCATCAAGGCCTCGAGCATCCTTCACAGCATCACAAACATCGTAAACCGTCATTCTCTCTTCATTCATCCTTACCAATGCTGGCTTAATAGTGAGAAGTGAACAAACAATGTACACTTAAGTACACTTTCACGAAACATTTACCGCCGTTTTCATTGAAAATGCAAAAGACTTTCCTCAAACAAACGGCGGCGAGATTGAAAGAAAAAAGTGAAGATGCTGTGTGAGAGAAATTCAACACTACACACACATCCGGCCTTTCCCACGAGCGATTCATCTTGGGCGTATACTGTTTGCTTTTGTAGCATATCGTAAGTACAGAAATACTTAAAGTATGAATATATAAGTATGTAATTACTTACGCTGAACGACATCTATCAAAGTGTCCTATAAAATCCTATAAAAATTACGCGCGTCTACCAAAATTACGAAATAAGCTATTTGTAGATAAAAGTCTTTTTTCTTAAACGTAGAAGAAGCTACTTGTATATAAATGCCTTATAAGAAATAAGGGAATAACCAAGAAGAAAAATATGTTAAATATGGAACAATGAACCAGGTATTTTACAGAATGAAAGAAGTTCATTTTTTTAGCCTAGGTCAAGCACGTATTAAACGTGCTTGGCCTAGGCTAAAAAAAAATAATTGAAATTATTTTTTTTTAGCCTAACTTGGTTAAGTCACAGTACGCTTTAGTTTGGCACATAACCTGTTAGAAAGAAGAATTTAAAATGTGAACAATTGAGAAATCTATTACACGAGATGGATCTGTTAGTATTTTTTTTTCTATTGTATTATATTTTTTATTTTTCAGCCTCTTAAATGTTCGACTGTCTTTTATTTTGATTATTAAAATACTTTTAATCTCGACCGCACCAGATATTCAATTAAGACTTTCTCCGAGTTGTAATTGGTTCATCGCCGATGGTTAAATTAACAGTTTGAGTGTAATATTAATAGAAATCGACCAATCGACGAGAGCCGCAACAATTTTTATTATGAGGGCCTCGGGCGTGCTGCGAACCGATACGAACTATAATATACACCAGTGAGATATAATATCTGACGTATTCGGTGAAACCGTTACATAAACTGAATCAGCCATTGATGTCGAATGGTCCTATTCAAATAATCGATTCTTTATGGACCTGCGTTCAATAGACGCTTATGTTAAGAACTGTTTGACATAACGACGAAGATAATACTGCATTTGTAAGCAGCACCGAGTCATTTGGATTGTTTTCGTTGGATATTTTCAAAAGTTTTTAGATAGGAATACTTATGCAAATGTTTTAGATCGGATTTTTAGTTTTGGACGCTATAGCATTTCGTGTGATTACTCTATAGGTCCACCCAAGTACTATCAGTGTAGACCAGGCAGTAGACATCAATTTTGTAATGCCACGGAGATGATTCTGACGCCTTCTTGGGACAGTGGCAACAGAAATCAAATTCATTTTTTTTTTATTTCGTTCTGCATTTATTATGCATATAATAAAATAAAACCAAAACCATTACGTCGAAAGCCATTTCCTGGCCCGTTCAATAGTGAACCTCTCACAACGTAAGCAAAGTCCGACCGGGCGAAAAACTAGAGCCGACCGGAGGCAGAGCACGCGCGGTCTGTAATTACGGGCCGTCGAGGAGAGAAAAAAACAAACCGACAATCAGCCGACCGCAACCGTCAACAGGTGCGCGCTGTCAGTTACGTCACCATTTGACAGGTGTCAAACGGGAAAGCGTAAGGCCCGCTCGATGCGTGCGCGACCAAATGTCAAGCTGCGAAATGCCAAAGGGCCGCTTGGCTAAGTGACATTTCGCGGAGTGCGTTTGAAAATTTAGGCCCGCGTAAAAAGTGGTCCACGTACACGTTGCGTTTGCTCCCCTTAAAAGGAAATGTCGTAACTGTAAAACGGACCTTTTCAACGGAATTTGCACATTGTCATTTGTAGGCAATTAAGGCCATCGATGATCTGAATTGATTGCAGTTAAACTTTTTCGCCGTCTTTGAACAGTAGGGTTGTTTTAATTCAAACTGCGTTTTCTTTACAATAACGTGTTTTGCTACTTTTTACCTTGACCAAATATTAACCTTTTTTCTCTACTTCTATGTCTATGATTAATAAGAAGTAATTCAGGGTCTATAGATCGGCTAAAAGGGCGTACCGCCTTCCAGAGATGCAATGATGCGTTCTTTAGTATACGCGAAAGAACATACCAACGTACCAGGTGGCTATCGACTGCGTTTGATAAACCCCATAACCCTGTCTCCAAAAAAGCAATCTCATTTCCATAAAAAAAAATTTATACCTTAAAAGAGCCGAAGACACTAATGAAACTATCAGATATTAGTGAGATAAGTAACTGATTTCGGGAGATAAAATTTGATGGAAACATATGCAATTAAGTTACCTTTTTGTTATGTTAAACAAAGAAAATGTTAAGAAATAAAGCGGCAAGTTAGAAGTATGACGTCTACGTAAATTCTTTAGACAATTTCATTCGGTTTTACGACAAACTTCTATTATGACTACATAAATACAACATTATTTAATTTAAATACGTGGTAGCACAGTCAAGACATATGCCCAGTTTTCGAAAGGCCAATCAAAGCAGCAATCACATAGCACTATGTCAAAAATGATCAGCTGTTAATCTCTTGTTAAACTGCCTTGGGTTTCTGGAAGGTTTGTTCAAGAAAAATTAGCTAATCACTGTATAACCAATGATAATGAATGAAATGAATGATTTACTTCAACTAACTCTTTCTATTGTATAGCTGTCCCTTTTTAACAAAACTTAAATTAACATCACTATCCAGTCCTGTCACCGTGTGATTGCCAACGTACAAATCCGAGCTATAATAAAATTTAATTTATATAAATACATGCAAAATGTCAAGAAAAAACTTTACAGAACGTGAAAAAAATGAACTTTTATCCATAATAAACAAGTAAGTATTATAAAAAGAAAGAATCCATAATATTTATTAACTTTTGAATTGCATTTTGTATTTTTTCTAATCGCATGAAATGTTCGCATAACAATAAATAATAAAGTATTAGGGAATTATGTTTACTTTTAATAAAAACTAATATTTTTGATAAAATACATTTTTAACCAACGATTGATCGTCCAAATTGACAGATTACTTAATAAAACTTTTGACAGCTCGTTGACCACCGAAAAACACTTTCAGAAACTCGATTTTCTGTTGATTGTGGGTTAATCAGTGACTAATAGCAAATCAAAATCAATGTTGTTTTTAGACGTTCTAGCAACTCAGATCATGTTAAACAACGATTGACAAGAGATTTATCGTAAATTAAAATTGATTGCGCTTTCGGAAACTGGGTGATAATGTGCTAAAAGCTAAAACACGCAGTCTTCACTATCAGTACTAAGTGCATATTTCACTAAGCTACAATCGTTTTTAGGATTTATTTATTACTTAGGTTTTCATATACTCCTTGTCATGACACGTAATACGCAGCGTGTAACATCGAGTAAATTGACTGTAACAATTTCCACGTTCAAAAAACATATTCCAAAACATGACACGAATTAGAACCCGCAATCTCCATAGATATTATTGATCCAAGTCTGGGTGTACTTTGCATGTTTCATATTCTCGTCTGTGAGAACACCCACGACGTAGTATCTACATTCTTCGTGGGGAATTATTAGTAAAAGGCAAACTTCACACTATCATTCTTTCTCATATATAGAAATGCTAGTTGTTAAACGCGGCTTCGCCCGCGCGGCCAACGGGAATTAATAATGAGTTTTTTATTATACATCAGAATATCTCGCAGATGGTTGAATTTTTCCTACTTAGATGACACTTATCATTACCTATATTTTGGACAATTCACACAATATCGTTATAAATTATAGCTATGTGTTATTCTGATGTATAAGCTATATTTTTGTAAAATTTAATTAAAATCTATTCAGCAGTTTTTGCGTAAAAGAGTAACAAACATCCATCCATACATACAAACTTTCGGGTTTATAGTATTAGTAAGGATGTGTACAATCCGTAGTTTCGCATGGGAAGATAAATTACTAAAGTACGCGTTAAGTCAAATTAAATCATTTTAATCATTTTATGTTTAATCATTTCATTTATTTAATCATTTTATGTTTATATAGCTCGTTTGCCGGGGTAGAAATTTAAATTGTGGTTTATGATGTAATGTTAGTCTGTAAAAATAATGTGTTGGCTACTTATTGGATGTCAATAAAAGGTTTTATGGTATGCCTTAATGTTACAGAAATCGCTTAGCGTTGTTTAAAAACTAATCATAGATGAAATTTGGCCAGTGGTATTTTGACGTAATCGATACTTTAACTTGTTACATCTGGCGGTAATTCAATTCTAATTATAGTAATATTTTATTTATCAACATTATTTTGCAACATTAAAACCATCTAAATGACATATTATACAATAGGTATTATACCTAGTCAATGTGGCATGATGCCAAGAACGCTAGCTGCATTTCCTCGCTGAATAGTTATGCTTAACCTTTGAGCTAGAAAAGAACCAGCTCTCTTGTCACCAGCGGCGGCATTGACACATTCAATTGAGGTGAAGTAATGTTGTTTGTACACAATGGTCAGATGATTTAAATAACCTGATTTTAATCAGTGATTATCTTCTTAGTGATTATCCTAATCACAGTAATATGAATTGAATAAAAAAATCTCTTGTAAAAAACACCAAAGTCGAATCTTCGTTTTATGCTTAAAATAGACGAAGAGATGTTTGTTTTTGCTTTCGCAAACAAACACTTAGCCAATAACATGATTCGCATGTTTTTCCGACCCCACCCCGTCAGGTGACGTTGATAAGTAATAGAAAAACATTAACTTTCAATTGGTATTTTTAACTCTTTCCCACCATTCACGCGTTAAAAGCAATTAGTAAAGACTGTTGCATTATTTACCTGGTCACCGCGTGGTTTTCTACTGGTCTCGATTAAACCGCACTCCATTCTTTGCGCCTGAAACAAAAGAGAAACAATCCGTGATATTTTTTTATTATACCAATTATAAGTAGAAACTGAAGTGGCCGAAATAAATGACTATAGCCAACTTATAAAAAGCAATGAATTTTGAATAGTGGGAATGTAAGAATGGAGCACAGATATAAAAAAATTATGTGTGTACTTATGTACGCACGTAATAAGTTATACGTCTTTAGCGTAATAAAAGAAAAATATTAAAATTTGTAGAAAAAGTACGAAAAGATTGTCGCCGCTGTGGAAATCGAACCCACGTCTTCGGCATTCGTGGCCAGACGCTTTAGCCATTATGCTAAACAGTTGATTTTTTTTTATTCAGAACTGGCCAACACTTGACTGCCATCCCACCTGATGGTAAGTGGCACATGGTAATAATTGTTTGAAGCAATGCTTGGCGCATCCATTGTTATATATTCCAGCATACAAACAATTTTGAATATCGTTTTACCACGATAATTCGAACGAGAGAATTAATTAAACAGAAAAATAATAAAAAAAAATTCCCATGTGCAAATACTCTTCGTTTGTGAAAAAAGCCAATTAAAAGCTAATGAAAACGGTGTAATGAAATAACTTGAATTTATATGTTATTTTACCACCACCTATCTTCATCATACGATGTGTTGCAGCAGAATTCCTAACCTTTAAGAGTTCGTGTTGCAACGCTACTAAAAAAAGTAAAGAAAAGTACTTTAGCATATTAAAAGAAATCAATACTTTCACTCTTCCTCTTTCTGTTCCTCTTTCATTACCTCTAACTGTGAGACCAATATTCGTAGAATAACTAAAACAGAACCCATGTATACCTATCGTTGAATTGCCGAGTCTTCTCTTGTCAGGTCTAAATTTTATATGAACGTAGTGGATTTCACATTCCTAATAAATCTAAAGTTCATAAAAGTATTACGACTGATATGGGTTCATGTTCAAACCGCAAAATTGTTGTTGGGTTATATATACCCAGGCCCTCTAGCTTTTCCCGTCACATCTCTCTAATTAAAACAGCAATTGAGTAATTAATCGTGGCTCGAATGAGCGATTGAAATCTTAATAAAACAGGACGGTTATAGGAAACGCGTGCTTAAGTACGTCAAGTACATAGCGGCTGCATCGCATCCGTCGCGGCGATTGCATCTGGCATCTCCATCCAGAATTCGAAACACGCCATTATGGCCCGTGTTCCCAAGCATTAAACACTTATTGGCGACTCAATTCAGTTTACTGTTGGCAAAGTAGCGATGGCTGCAAAAAAGACTAATGCAGACTGGCTGGATGCTAGTGTTGTACATTGTAGATCTGTGTTTTGACATTGACCTAAGTCAAGATGTTAGTAAAACGATTTATCGTGACGCATTTGTGACATAGATAATGGGCGAATATCATGTGAACGTTTCCCGTTTCACAAAGGATTTTTTTTTTCTATTTTACCTTTTATATATTGCTCACGTAAAGCAACTAACAACGCCAAATTGATCAACTTTGGTCATTCGAACCAACATTTTGTCTTAGAGAACATGACCTGAATAAAATCAATTAAGCATACAACTTGCTTTGGATGGTCTCATAGCGACTTAACTCGTATAGTACATAAATACTTCATGAAGAAAATCGAATAATCGATTTACTTATATTCTCAGAGCGATTAAACTCGTCTAGTACATAACGCTTCATGAAGAAAATCGAATAATCTAATAACTTATGCTCTCAGAGCGACTTAAGTCGTCGCACCGAATCCCTTGCTCTCTCCGCAAACAACGAATTCGCTTAAAATTCCCGACGTGCTTGACTCGAAATTATCAGACACTCCAAACGCGGGAAATTGCTATTTCGGGACGTCCTCTGGACGCAATATTAATAACTTGCTCCCTCAAGTCGTCGCGGTATGCCTCGATGCGAATGTAAAATTAATGTCTTCTTGTGTGCTACACTTCGCATTGTTAATTGAAACTGTTGTTTGTAATTCAAATTAAAATATCTTACATCTCTATACTTACGAGCCCAAACGCGCTATATTTTTAGTAAGTTTCTAAGTTTTGTAAGTGTGTTGCGACGATGTAGATTATTGATTCAGACAGTTGCTTCGGTGTGATTCAGCGGACCACACAGTTGCACTAGTTCTAACGCGTATTGTCTAATCGGCGACCTTCGAACTTAGTTCAGCCTCTTTATCCTTCAGACGAGACGGCGGCGTTAGGCGCGACTTGCATTTCAATCGACTTGCCCAACTGCTCGTGCCTGTTAGATGCTTATTCGACATTCATTCGGGCTGACCATTAAACTTCTCACCGATAGATGGCGCTACGAGGCATAATTCCTAATGTAAAATAAAAATAAAAATTTTAGGTCCTTTAAATGTTTACCTAGAATTGTTTAATTTTTTTATTATTTTTATTAAACGTTGCCTTTACTGTAGGATAATACTTTTTCCATTATTCTAAGTGTGGTAGGCCCACGCAATAGTTTCTCCTGTTGCACGAATGGGCAGGTCCCACTGCACATACTTACCCGGACAGTAAGTATCACGACCTCACAGAAGACAGGCGTGCAGTGGAAGTGTTATACTTCTGCGTTTCGTCTGGTGAGTGAGGTAGCCGGAGCCCACTTTATTAATAGGTGGAGACGCATATGCAACCCTGCGATTGTTGCAAATCTACAAGGGCGGCGGTACTAACTTAACATCAGGTGAACCGCCAACTCACTTCTTACCTTTTACCATGAAAATTGGATAACATTATCCCGGGTTATAAGGACGACGGACAAACAATAATCTCACGTGGTCTAACACCCATCCGAAACAATTATTATCCGTGGGCCAGACAAATAGTTGCCCCGTGTGGGATTTGAAACCGCGGCACCGAAGCCAATATCTTAACAACTGCGCCACGGAGTCATGGAAAATTTAAACTTTTTATTTGTAGTGCAGAATAAATAAAAGGATGGTGAACACTTTTTATGGAGGCATATATAGCATATCCAAGAACTAGAAATATAACATTTTAAAGTGCTTAAATCTGAATATAGAATTTAGCCATTTTTATATCCTTTTAAGCTGCTCATTTTTTTATAAACTGCAAGTAAATAAAAGTTATTTTTTTATGTCGATGTTTAAGTTCGAAGTCAGTATGCGTCTGATATAATTTATGACCATAAAAAATTATATACATATAAAGTCGACATACCTGACACTTAATTTCATTCACATTATTTGTCTTTATTCGAACTGATGAAATCTAATTAAACTAAGACGAACTTCTAATTAATACGGGCTCTTCAAAAATATAAATTTTATTTTACATTTCAATATCGAAATGGCCATCGTTTAGGTCGTAATGCAATCCCGAAGTGATTCAACAAAACGTTGTTGGAGGTTAGTTTAGCCAACACAGTTAAACGCTATTTTTATACTTTCTCGTGATTCTGGTACGAATATATAAATTTCCAAAACGCTATGCAATTATGAGTAGATATGATACTGTCAGAAAGAAAACGGTTGTTTCTTTTGTAAAAAAAAATTACTTACTTTACTAACCCTTAACAAATCAAATTAATTTGATGTACTTCTTCAAAAATACAAAATTGACGAATGTTTTAAGACTAACCATTTGTATCGTCCCCCAATAATAACGCAGTTTTGAAAAGTGGTGATATTGCAAGTTAATCTTGCAATATCACCACTTTTCAGTCGTAACTATGCCGAGGCTTCATTTTCTTGTAAAACAATGACGTATGTGTGTTCAGTGTGTAGATTCAATATCTGAATGATAGCAATTTTATTGTTAGTAATGAATGAAACTCATAAACCGATTCTAGCTAATAATAGCATGAGTGATTTGAAGACTGAGATTTTTAGATCTCTACATTATTATTATTACATTTTTAGATCTCTATATCAAAATTAGCTGAAAATTAGACAATTGCGATAAAAGGTCTATATATAATAGATAATAAAACAAGTTTTGCATAGATAGAGATAGCTATCGATTTCAGATATAAAATATATCGATAGTTAAATCGATTAAAATATCTGTAGTGGCAGCCCTGTGCGTGCACAGACGCACTTGTCAGCGCCGGGGCTGTCACGCGCTGATTGCCATTTCGGCTGACACACAATCCGCGAAGTTTGTTGTATAATGGCACGCCACCGCGGGCGTTGGGAAGCGGAAATCTGGTGTAAAATACACGTGCGCGCGAAAACGAAGTCTTCCTCCTTTGGCTTATGACGACTTTCACCTGGATAGACAGGGATTATTATTACTGACCATCCGATATACTTTTCCTGCTGATATAAAGCATATAGAATACGATATTGTAGTGCGATATAAGCCGGTTCTGCGTTTGATTCACGTGTACGCTAATTTATACGACAACGCAAGAAAAATTGCAATATCATTTGCACATATCGAGGGTTGTAACAAAAACATATTTTTCTTTGAATAAGTTATAGCTTCTATTTCTCGGATATAATGTAGTCTTATAAAGAAAATGATTTTAATAACAAAATTATATTTTCAAACTATTACATAATGCAGAAGACAACTCATCCTTCTGCAATACGTCTTGGTTCCTTTAGAATGGTGTTAAATGATTTCGAAGTGTTGTTCTCAATTGCTGCTGTGTTTCTCAAGTTTCATACTAATATTGGCAATAGTAACATATTCTTTCCAATCGGGATACAGTTATGCAAGTACGGCTACATAGCAAAATTGAAAATTGCCCAAAGATCGAATCATTTCATTTTTTTTTAAATCTAGTGAAATGCTTGGAACTGTAATTAACTGCAATGTATAGAATTTTAGGGTTCCGTACCCAAAGGGTAAAACGGTACTCTATTACTAAGACTTTGCTGTCTGTCTGTCTGTCACAAGGTTCTATCTCATGAACTGTGATAGTTAGACAGTTGAAATTTTCACTGATGATGTATTTCTATTGCCGCTATGACAACAAATACTAAAAAACAGAATAAAAAATAT